CAGGTCAGATATCATCTCTGTGAGGTAGCTGACTTTCAGAAGTTAAGTAACTTATTAAATGGAATATTCTGTAAATTGAGAAGCAGGAAGAATCCTTAATAAATATATTCCAAATCACCGAACATATAGAAAATGTAAACTTTAAAGTTATTTTTAAATGTTTCATTTTCATTTTCTTTTTCTTTTGTTTTGCATTCCACAGCCACCAATAATTACAGATGGTGACTTGAAAACTACAGGTGAAGCCAGCTGTATAGTAAAAAGGCCTTAAAAGTAGGCACAACTTACTGGCATAAGAAGATGGTTCTTGATTCTAAATGTAACTAAACAAAAATTTAATCTACCTCATACAAAGGGGTAACAAACTTCGTAAAATGTTAGAACTAGAAAAAGCTTCTAGTGAAAAAATTTAAAAAACTGAAATCTAAAAAGGCTGGACATTATGATAATGTTTTAAAAATCTGAGTAATGCCAAACATGCAATTTGTAGTGTTCTTTTTCAGCTCTTTTGCAGTATGGTATTATAATAAAGCTCAACGGGTAGTTGATTTCTATAAGAAACAAAGATGTTATAAAATTTTTATGTCAGTGGGTAGGCCAACTAGCACAAATTTTTGAAACATCGAACTAACAAGGTCAGGACCAAGTATTCAACCTTACTCTCAAGTGTTCAAACCCACTCTTGATAAGGGATTTGCATTGAAAAAAATACTGCTTCAAGGCTGGCGTTTGCATACTGTAATCACTGTTGACCATCTTACCAATTCATAATTCTGACTGAGAAATCATATGGTTCAATGAAAAACTCACAATCATAAAAAAAACCCTAGTAAAAGTCTGTAATATTTCTGATTACTAAGAATAGCATATATAAAGACAAACAAATACATAATATACCCACATTGAACAAAATTTATAAAAAGGATAAAAAAAAAAGACACAAAAAATTTCCCTTTTGGGCTGAATCTGCAATATAGTGGTTATGCGATGTGCATTGGAAACTGGGTCACATAGATCTGACTGCAGTACCAATGCCGGCCCTAGTGGCTTGACGGACACACCAAGTATGTATGCCTGTGTGTCCAAACTCCTGATGGGAAGGTGAGATACAGAGGAAAGGGACTGTGGTGTGACCACGCCCCCAAAGGGGATGCTTTCTCCTTCTCTCTGGGAAGCACTTGAGCATTCTGGCAATTAAAAAAAAGACTAATAATTTCACAGTCTTTTGAGAATATTTCATGTACCCAATATGATTTCTATGACTTAGAAAGGTATATCACAAATCCCTTAGGCAGGGTTCATGTCTAGCTTACCTTTAACTATGTCAAAAGTGTAAGTAATGTTATTTCATTATTTTTAAAAAAATGGTATAATTGAAAACATATTATTTTAAAATATGGAGAATTCTCTTTACTATTTAATTTTCTTTAATAATAATATTCTCTTTAATATTTTTAGTCTAAAACGTGAAATTTACTATGTTATGAATGGCAGTACAAATTCATACATGGAATCACATGAAATGTAATAAGCATTAAAAACAGTGGGTGGCATGGTGGTTGGGGTGCTGGATACCCACATGAGCGAGTGGGTTCAAGTCCCAAAGGTGGCAACTTGCTTTCTCACTTTCCCTTTCTCTCTGTCTTTCTCTGGTCAAAATTGAAGAATAATGATAAAAGAATCAAAAATAAATCTTTGAAAAAACACATTAACTGCTGTAATTATTATGACAAGTAAGTATATTAAGCCCTATTCTATTGACACCAAACAAAAGGATCTAATTCTTGTCTAAACACTTTAATTTACACTTTCCTTAAGCAAGAGAAAATATAAGGAAGCGCTATTAAATCAGCGAGCATTGAAACTTGGGCATTCCCTGATTAGAAGAGTTCATTATTATTATTATGCCTCCTGAACTTAGGAATGCAGCATTACAGGTTTACAACAAGAGGAAAAAATCATTACTAAATACAAATCTAATCTCCACCAGTTTAAGATTCTTTCTTCATGAAACTGTTTAGATTTAGACTAATGAAGCTGTTGAAAACAGATTTAGCATTTGACACAGCAATGAGGAGGTACTAATATTGCATGTGCTTCACTAACAGCACTTTTGTAATAAATGAAATTAAAATTTTCATGTTATTTTTCTGATGCTCTCTTGAACTAATGTGAAAGAGTTATCAATTATAGTAAGTTTAGGATTCCAGCTTACTGACCTAACTGGCCAATGCCCCTAATTAACCTTGCCAAAGGAAACAGAAGGCCGACATTTCCTTAGCACACAAAGCCTTCTAAAACCCAAGTAACAGAGAAAAAAAAAAATATATATATATACATATATAAGATATATTTCCATCTTCCTTATTTCCATGCAAGGAAATGGAACACTTACAGCAACAGTAGCTCTTATCCTAACCCACCAAAAGAAAGAGGTTTTTAGAAAAGGGTCAATATCACTAATTGGTAAAATTAAAAGCAAGATAGGATAAAAGTAATCAGCATAGCTTAATCTGCCCCTAAAACTAGTAACTAAATAATTAGTTATATGGTCTTCTGTTTAGACTGCTGGAAAGTGAAGAGCCAGACCCGAGGCTTCCTCTTCTGCTGATTCATGGTATACATACACGTAAGTGGGCTCTAGCTAACTGTTCCAGTCCTACATATTTCTTACCTTGTTATTTTCTTAATTATTGCTAATTTACATTCTTTACTATGAAAATATATATGTTTATATACTATTTGTGTTAATATAAAACTGATCTGAAGAGCTGGTAATGTATTTTTTCCTTAAGCCTTCCTAAGCATAGTCCATTATCTCTGATATCTATCTGAAAACTACATTAATTTTGGTTTCCGTGATATGAAAATGAAATTTTTCCTTCTCTGTAACAGAAACTTTGAGGAAAAACCCTAGTATCTCCATGAATTAGTGTGTCCATGCACAGATTTGTAAGCACCATCTACTCAAGTGTGTAAAAGATATTGTTTACATTCATTTAAATAAAATTAAATTAGAATCCGAGCTTCCAGGAAATTTAAGCTTATTTGTTTTTTGGTAATTTTCTCTCCTACCTCAGGGATCTTACTCCTATTCAATTTAAAATAATTTTCTATACATCCTCACAGAGTGTTCTCTGTACTTAAAAAAAATGGTAGTAAACTGATAACATCATATTTACCATTTTAGTTCTTTTTAAATGTACAATTCAGTGGTAGTAAGTACATTCACAATATTGTGCAATTGTCATCACTATTCTTTCCAATATTTTTTCCATCATTCCAAACAGAAATTATTAGAGGCCAGCAGGTGGCGTACTGGTTGAGGTGCTGGACTTCTACATGGCTGACCGCGGTTTGAATACCAGACCTGGTGGCTTGCTTTCTCACTTTTCCTCTTTCTCTTTGTCTACCGCTGGTCACAATAAAAAAAAAAAAAATGATGGTAATAAATAAAATCAAATAAAAATAATTCTTCAACAAAACAAAGCAAAAAACATACTGATACCTTAGTCTTACCCCTAGTATAGAGAGTCTGATGCAATTGGCCTTGGATGGGCTGGCCAGCAGAATTCTTGAGGATACTCAGGTGATTCTAATGGCGGCTCCAGTTCAGAATTGCTGATGGAGCTCTCACAGAGTGGACAGAGGAAATACTGCAATAGTCACTAAATAGACCCCTTTCACACTGACTCTAATTACAATAGCAAATGGTTCCCCACAGTTTGTGATCGACAACCAAACATACTTGGTGTTTAAGAACTGTTGCTGTCTCCTAGGGCTGTTGTAACAAAGCACCACTAACTAGATGGCTTGAAAAGAACAGTAATTTAGGTCACACAGCTCTGCAGACCAGAAATCTGAACTCAGACGTCTATCAACTGAGTTACACTCTCTCTGATGGCTTGAGGAAGAACCCTTCCTTGCCTCTTCTACCATCTGGTATTTATGGATAATTCTTGATATTCCTCAGCTTATAGATGCAGCATTGAAGCACACTGCCTCTTCTCCTAGCATGTCTTCACATGGTCCTCTCTCTGTGGTATCTACCTTTGTGTCAATGTCCCCTTTATATAAGGACACCAGTCATATTGGAATATGTATTTTACATATAACCCAATACAAAAGCTTATCTCTTTCTCACGTACATAACACAACACTGAAACTGAAGTATCATAAAGTGTTTACCAGTACTATGGGAGGTGCACTTGACTTTTCTATTCTCTTATTGTTCACTAAAAAAAACTGCATTGGGAACCAGCAGTTAGCGTAATGGCTATGTCGCTGGACTCCCATGTAGTCGACCGCGGTTCGTATCCCGGACCCGGTGGCTTAAAACTCACGCCGGGCGCGTGTGCGTGTGTGCCCAAGATCCGGAGAGGAGAATGGAGGAGAAGGGATTGTGGCGTGACCATCCCCCCTGGGGGGTGATTTCTCGCTTTCTGTCTCTATGTCTCTCTCTGTCTGTCTGGAGAGCGCACGTGCCCTACAGTGAAAATCTCTCCAAAAAAAAAAAAAAAAAAAGCATTGAATTCTACTAAATTCATTTAATAAAGACTCCAGAAGAACAAACTAAATAAGCCTGCTAAAAATTCTTTGGTAACATTTCTTTAAAAGCTCTTATATTATAATAGGTGAAAGATTATTATTATCGCTACTCATGTACTATTTTAAAAAAGTATACCATTACTTTAGAGGTGGCATTCAGATGGGCCAGTCGTTAAACAGCTATTCAGGCTCCATTTAAACAACTGGTAATGAGTTATGTAAATTTTGTAATTCTGATGGGAGTGTAAATTTAAACTTTATCAAATATAGGAGGAAAAAGAAGTACGATAATAAATATTTTATGCCTGAATTAATTAAAATGATAAAAAATGCTTTAAATACATAATGTTTAATTTCATTGAGGTATTTCCTCATTCATTTTTGTAAAACCAAGTAGGAGCATTTCTAAAACTAACAATATTTGCTTAATCCCAGACTAAAAAAGACTTTACCTGTAGTAAACTCTAAGTGTCTGAATTTCTTCTTCCAGTTTTTTGTACTGTTGAACTGCAGTTTCTCTGGCTTGTTGCATAGATAATAACTTTGCCTGCAAATAATATTTTAAGAAATTTAATATTAGTTCTTATATGATAAAATACAATACTATACTATGAACAGGAGCCTTACATTTCTGGTAGTTTAAAAACTGTCATTAATTTTGGGAGAGTCATAATTTCCCACAAAAGCAGGCCAAATTATTAATCATAGAAATACTAAGGACATGAACACATTAAATTTACCAACACTGCTCATTACTAAACTTCAAACTTATTTATCTGTATCATCAGACATATGCCCTTTTGCAATGTTTAACTTTATGCACAGAATTCAGAATGTGGGACATGGGTTCTGAGCAGTATCTAGAGATAAGCACAATGGGTGTTTCACATACAAATTGAATGTGGCTCCACTGCCTGATCAGACTAGATTTTCTTTTAACTTCATTAATAGTAAAACTCAGAAAATTCTAAATATGTTCTCAAGCCATCTTTGATATTTAATGTAAAAAAAAAATACACACCACCTGATTCTGAAAGATATGATTTAACCTTTTCAATCCTTTTCTTACAGGGTTGAAAAACAAAAAATAAAATCCCAAAAGGAGAATGGCAGCAGCCCTGTACGTATGCTAAAATCTTTTTTTTGGTTGGTGTTTTTGTTTTTTAAATTTGCTATAGGGCACTTTTACGAGAGAGAGAGAGAGAGAGAGAGAGAGAGAGAGAGAGAGAGAGGCAAGGAAAGTGAGAAATCACCTCTCCCAGCCCCCTGGGGGATGGCCACACTGCAATACTCCACCAATTTCTTCTTGGGATTTTGAATACATATGCACAAGACCTAGGTATGATTTTTAAGCCGACAGGTCCAGGACTTGACCCTAGCAATTGACCATGTGGAATCCAGCCGCGTTAACCATCACACCACTTGTTGGCCTGCTACAAATATTTCATTCAAGGGATGTTGTTCCTCCCTGACAATAATGCTTCAGTTTTAAAGCCTGGGCAATCATAGGCTAGTCAGTAGCCTTGTGGTTAAGGGAGCCAGATCCTACATGGTTGAATACAGTTCAAAAACCAGTCTTGGGGGGTTGGAAAATATACCAGGTGTGTGTGTGTGTGTGTGCATGTGTGTCCCAAATCCTGGCAGGACGGAGAAATGAAGAAGGGATTACAACATGATCAGGTTCCATTGAGGGTGCTTTTAACTCTCCTTTTATGTCTCTCTTTGGTGAGCACACACACTCTGGAAATTTAAAGAAAAAAAAAAAGATGGGTAGTCAGTTTTTTTTTTTTTTTTTTTTCGTAGGTTCAAAGCAGTAATCAATTTAAAAAGAAATTGTCACTTCTCCACCATCATATCATTGGATTTTTTTTTTTGGGGGGGGGGAAGAGGTTTTCGCTATAGGGAGCGTGCGCTCACCAGACAGACAGAGAGAGACAGAGAGACAGAAAGTGAGAAGTCACCCCCCCCGGGGGGATGGCCACATCGTAATCCTTTCTCCTCCATTCTCCTCTCGGGGTCTTGGGCACGCACGCACACATGCCTGGCGTGAGTTTTAAGCCACCAGGTCTGGGATGCGAACCATGGTCGACTACGTGGGAGTCCAGCGACATAGCCATTACGCTAACTGTTGGTTCCCATATCATTGGATTTTAAGCATCACCAAAAAGAGTTTTTCAACATAACTTTTAAAATAGGTTTCTGGTAAGTCAAATTTTAGTATTGTTTATTCAGTTTAATTCCAGGAAAAGGCTACCTTTCACTTTAAATGGTATTTGATAGATAAAACAGTGAATTGTTGTCACAAACCACATACTATACCAATACAAATAATAATAAAGTAATTGAAAGTTTGGAAGAACAGGTTTAGAATTTTCTTGTGTAAGAATGTAGTTTTAAGAGAAATAATGAAATCTTGACTATAGGAGAACTGATTAATGTAACAGAAGTGAATATTAAACAGTACCACTTGTCTCTTCTAATCATGGAAAATTATAAAAATATGCAGCATGTTGGATCTTTGCAATAAGTGAAGGCTCTAAAATATTAATCTGTTCTCTATCTGGCTAGCAAATTCTAATAGTTACTTTGTACACAAAGTTAAGATGTTTGAATGTTTGCATTATACTATATTGCATAATTTCAGATAAAACATCAAAAATTAGAAAAAAAGCACTTAAGTGGTTGGTTCTCAATGTCAATAATTATCAGCTTTTCATTTTTCAGTATACAACAAAATGGTACACAGGCACCCATTGTGTTAAGAATATCAGGCATTGGACAAGTAATAGAGAATTTGCTAAGTAAATGCTTAGCAAATGCTAACTACCTTATATGATTATTAAAAATACTTTACCTGGTATCTCTGCCAAAACCAACCAACCAAACAAACAAAAACACACACACAGTCAAACAAAATACGAACTTTTGGGGCTGGCAGGTATGTAATGGTTAAAACGCTAAACTCCCACATGGCTGACCACAGTTTGACAGTTAGTCCTGATGACACCATTTATACTCCAGAATCCAGGTATGTCAGAAGACAGATCCAGTTCTTAGACTTCCTGGGTAGATAAATCCTTTTTCAGTGTGGAAGGGTGAGGGGTCACCTACTAGTTTGAGTTGGAGGTCTGTTATATACCCATCAACCACTTATTTTTATACTGCAAAAACATATAGCTGATTTAAATATCATGTGTGCTTTTTTTGCATTTTCTAAAACATTAATATATAATGCTATCACACTACAGATCAAAACTAAGTTTCATATCAAAAACACTAAGAAAAGTGGTAGTGTATTTTTTTTCTGTTTTTCTAGCATTTCCATATTTCTGACAATTACTTTTATAACAACTGCATACATTAATTTATATGTATATTCATATAAGTAATTACATGAATAATAATTTTTAAAAATTAACAAAACTCACTGTAAATGAGTACACAAAGTCAAGTAAATTTGCCACCTCCAACCTGCAGTCCTAGATCTGGCAACTTAAAACTCACACCAGGCACGTGTGCGTGTATGCCCCAAATCCCAAGAGGATAATGGAGAATAAGTGATTATAGCATAGGGGTGATTTCTCACTTTCTGTCTCTCTTTGTCTCTCCAGTGAGTGCACGTGCCTCATAGAAAAAAATCTTTCTTAAAAAAATTAAAGGTTAAAAAAAACCCTTCATCCCATCCCACATATCACACTCACTGTCCCCTTCTCTTCCTTTTTTCCTAGACTAAAATTAAGCACTTCCATGATTTTTGGTTCATAATTTTCAAGAATATTTCACATTTTACTATATAGTTACATACTTAAAAATAATATTCCATATTGTTTATGGGTTTTTATTTGCTTTATTGGTCATATTAAATCTTTGATACATTCATATTGATATGTGTCTTCATTCTTATTTATCTTTATACATGCATTCTGTGTTTACAGACATATTTGGACTTATTTTTACATATTATTTCATGTTTTATGCTTGCTTTTTTTGCTTTTTTTCTCCAATTTATGTGGGATTAAATTTTCTACATTCTGACTTATACTGTACTGTTTAGGATCTATCTATCTATCTACCCATCTCTATATTTTTGGAAAGAATTATTTTATTTAACTTCATTTATTTTAATTTGACCAGAGGGGGACAGAGTGAGAGAGAGGGAATGTGAGAAAGCAAGCTGGAACTCAATCCCTGTCAGTCATGTAGGAGTCAAGCACCCTTAGCCACCCTTCGCCCCAAGTATCTATATATTTAGAGTCTACCTTACATATATATTTTTTTAATCTGCCAGAGGGTGCATGTGTTTGCTGGAGAAAGTCAGAAAGAGAGAGAGAGAGACTGAAAACAGAAAGCACTGCATAGTCATATCACAATCCCTTCTCCATCTCTCCCTCATTTCAGGATTTTGGGTATATATGCACAAGGACCCGTGTGTTTCTCAATTGCCAGATCCAGGACTTGAATTGCATTGTTGGCCATGTGAGATACAGCTGCCTTAACTACCAGGCAATGGGCTGGCTTACTACCTTGAAAACTTTGATGAATTTCTTAAAAATTATTTTTTGAGCAAAGCTAACTGTGAAAATTGCTGTATATAATCATATTAGATTGTTAGGAAAGTCATGATGTATTTTTCTATGCAAAATGCATCATGACTTTCCTAACAGCCCAATAGTTCCAGATTAATATTTTTCATAAACATTTTCTACTTATAACAATATTTTGGGTAAAATATAACTGAAGTAAAATATACATGTAATATAAGTATACATATGGATTTTAAAAGAATTCCATTTACACAAATTCCCATTTTTGGTATAGTGTTTAAATTGAAAATTTATACAATCACATAACAACCATTACAATCAATATACCACCATCCAAAAATCTTCCCTTGTGCACCCCTGCAGTAAATGCCCTCCTTTTATGCCCACTGGTGGCAATTTCTGATGTGATTTGTCTCTCTATAGTGTTATAAAAATGGAATCATATGGTATGTAGTCTTTTTAAAAAAGAATTATTAATTATTATTATTTAATTTTTATCAGAGAGAGACACAGAGAGAGAAAGGGCAAGTAGAAAGCAAGCCGCAAGTCTGGGACTTGAACTGTGGTCAGCCATGTGGGAGTCCAGCACATTAACCACCTGCTGGTCTCAGTATATGGTCTTTTGAGCCTAGCTTCTTTCACTTAACAAAATGTTTCTGAGATTCACCCATATTATTGCATGTATCAGTAGCTCACTCTTTCACATAACAGCAATATTCCATTGTATGGATATGCCATAATCTGTACATCCATTCATCAACTGATGGAGGGTTGGGTTGTTTCTGGTTTTTGGTAATTATTAATAAAGCTGCTGCAAATGTCTTCATATAGGTCATTTTGTGAAAATATGCCCTTATCTCTTGGGTAAGTATCTAAGAGTAGAATAGCTGGGTACTGTGGTGTGTGCACACATACACACATTTTATACCCATTTACTTTTTGGGTTGTTGGGCAAGTTATGATGCATTTTTGCATAGCAAACCAGAAAAATACATCATGACTT